TTTTTTTGTTTATTCATTTATTGTATGTAGCTTTTGTTAAACTAAATTTTTAACACTTGATGCTTTTAAGTTTATAATAATTGAGTCTTGCTGTGTCTTTCTTGCTGATTTATTTATTATCGAATCTTTTTATGTTATGATTTAAATGATTTTGTTTAATATACTCCCAGATGATTTTAGAATTAAAAGATTTTATGAAACTTATTAAGCGATGAGAGGTTATTATTTATATCCTAAATATGAAAACAAAAATATTATTTAATATTATTGATAAAATTTAAAATTAATGAATTACATTATATGTAGATCAATATATTTTTTAATTTATTATAACTCAAGAAATATAATAAATATTTTAAAATAATTTATAAAATATTAAATATAATTATTTATTTTATTAATATTTTTATTTTCTAACTAATTTTATATAAATAAATTTTAAAAAATTCCCACAATTTTTTTACAAATATATTTTTTTTATATAAATATTTATTTAATCATTAACATAAATAAAATAAAAATTATAGTATTTTCTCACGTATATAATTATTGGAATTATATATAAATCACACATATATTATTTTAATATTTTAAAAAATATTTTTTAAATAATAAATTAATTTTACTGTTTAAATTACAATAAAATGATGAAACAAAATTAAATTATATAAAAATTTTCATGGATAAAACCAGGTATTAAGAAAAAAAATTAAAAAAAGCTAAAAAAATAGCAAATCATTTATATTAATATTTAAACTTAAAGGTTAAAAATGTTGGATTGAAGATAAGGATACCTAATCAAAAGAAATAATAGATTACCATTAATGTTCTGTACTTTCAGTTAATTATTAATTACAAATCGCAAAAATAAAGTATATTGAGTATTAGTAAGAGTAAGTTGAAATAAATTTAAAATCACTTCATCAAATGAATGAATAAAAAAAAAATATATTAGAAGATGACAATTTAGTTAATATGCATGTTTTAAATGAACCTGAATTATTAAATTCACTTTAAATAAGATTTATGAAAAATAAAATTTTTTCTTATATAACAAATACTCTTATAATAATTAACCCTTATCAAGATTTGAAAGAATATTTTGCAGAAGAATAAATCGAAAAATATTCTAGAATCGCAAAATAAAATTAATTCTAACTTAAATAATATCCTTCTCATGTTTATGCAATATCAGCATTGGCATATAATTAACTTTTAAATAATTAAAAAATTAATCTATTATAATAAGTGGAGAAAGTGGTTCTGGAAAAACAGTAAATACAAAACATTGCATGTATTTTTTGACTTCAATAAGCCAAAAAGAAACAGAGTAAAATAATGTTTCTTTAGAATAAAAAGTAAATAATACATAGAAATTATTTGTTAATATTTTTTATATAATTTTTTTTAAAAACTCAATCAAAAAAAAAGTCATATTTGTTTTTACTCGCCTTTTTTTTTTGGCGATTGAGTTTTTAAAAAAAAAATACATCAAAAATAAAAATAAAAATATAAATACAAACAAATAATATATAAATATATAATTTATGATTTTTCGTAGATTATTAGTTGTAATCCAATTTTGGAATCTTTTGGAAACGCCAAAACAATAAGAAATGATAATAGTAGTAGATTTGGGAAATATATAAAATTAATAATTGATAAAAAAACAGAAAAGATAATCGGAGCATAGACACAAAGTTATCTATTGGAAAAATCAAGAATTACTTATTAATCATTGAATGAGAGAAATTATCATATTTTTTATTGTTTATTGAAATGTGGAAATAATTAATTATTAGAAAATATTTATTTAAAAAATCCAAATTAAAATTTTGAAATGAGCCATTTTTAGTATATTACAAAATCAAATTGCTTTTCTTTAAAATCTCTTGACGATAACACATTATTTATAGAAATAAAATAATCTTTTAAAATACTAAATATTTAAAACGATTTATTTATTTGGAAAATTATTGCTTCAATTCTACTGTTAGGGAATATTGATTTTGACGAATCTACTTATGATAATGATATTCCATGTTTAATAATTGAAGATAACATATCATCTATAGCCAAAATAGCAAAATTATTAAATGTAAATGAATAAACATTAAAAAAGGGTTTATTATATAAAACCAGATAAGTGGGTAAATAAGTTTTTGACACTCCTTAAAATAGAATGGATGCTAATTAATCGTTACATTCTTTATCTAAATATTTATACGAAAAATTATTTCTTTGGCTTATTTTTGTAATGAACACATAACTAATGCAAAGCGGGTATTGTGAAAAATCTCATTTATGCATTGGAATTCTGGATATTTTTGGTTTCGAGGTTCTTGCTGTAAATTCTTTTGAACAATTATGTATAAATTATGCGAACGAAATATTATAATAATTATATATATAATACGTATTTAAATCTGAATAAATCGAATTTTAAGAATAAGATTTAGAAAGTGAAATTCATAAAATAGACTTTAATGATAATTATTAAGTTATTGATTTGTTAGATAAATATCCAGTAGGAATATTTAATTTAATAGATGAAAATTCATAAATAGCAACAACAGATGATAAATTAATTAATAAAATTAAAGATATTCATATCAAGAATTCATTTTTTAAATCTCCTAAAATCGGAAGGGAAATATTCACTATTTGCCATACACCAAGAGAAGTTGATTATAACGTTTTAGGTTTTCGTTCTAAAAATAAAGACGATTTAAATGTAACTTTAATAAATATGCTTAGTGATTCAAAAGACAATAATATTAAGAATATATATGAAAAATAATATACTATATAATAAAATAATAATGAAAACATTAATTAAAAATAATAATCAGATAAATTTTTGGGAGCCAAATTTAGAACTTAAATATAAGAATTAATTTATAATTTGAAAAAAAGTGATGTTCATTTTATTAGATGTATAAAACCGAATGAAGAAAAACAATTTTTTTAATTTAATTAATAGCTTGTTTTATAATAATTAAGGTATTTAGGTGTTTTGGATACAATAAAAATTAGTAAAAATGGCTATCCAATAAGAATTTCTTTTGTTGAATTTTATAAATAATTCTATTTAATTGATTTAAGATCAAAAAGTTATGTTGAATGTCTTTAAGAAAATTGTGATTTTAAACAATTAGTATAGGGCTTATAATTGTGGAATTAAATTGATGGAAATAATCATTAAAATAAAAGTTAATACTTATTTGGAAAATCCAAAGTATTTATAAAAAATGATTATTATTAAGTTTTAGAGGATTTATATATTGAAAGAATTTAATTTGTAGTTAATAAATGTATAATAATCCAAAGCAATTTTAAAGGATATATTTAAAGAAAAAAATATTAATAATATGTATCAAAGCTCAAGCATTATATAAGGTGGTTTATATGTAAATATGAATACAAGTTATTTTTGAAAAAAAGAAAAAGCGCTTAAAAAATATAAAGATATTATAGAAAATACATTTTATATAAAAAGAAAAAATATGCCACCTTTGTACAAAAATACATTTAAAGAGCTTACCATATTTTAAATTTTTAAAATATGAAAAATTAATTGGTAAAAATATAAAGATTTGCAAAAAAATCAATTTGTAGAAATAAAATGAAAAGATATTTAACTTTCAAATATAATTTAATATTGCAAAGTCTTAGTGAAGGGTGGATCAAAATTCTGAATTTTAAGACAATTTTAATATAAAAAAATATAAGGGGTTATTTATGCCGATAAATTACTCATAGAGATATTCAAAAATACTTAAATGAATATAGAATAAAAAGAATAAGATAATAATAAATTATTAAAATATAAAATGCAGTAAGAAGATATTTAAGAAAAAAAAGACTATAATTATTAAATTTGAGTGCATAAAAAATTTAAGGATTTGTGAAATCTGTATGGCTTTCTTAATTACTAAAGAAAATAAGGAAAGCAGCAATTATAATATAAGTAAGTATATATAAAAAAACTTAAAAAAATATACATATTAAAAAAGATTTACTTTAAGAGATATATGCAATAAAATCAAATTTAGCGTAAATTTATGCAATAATAAAATTAAATGCTTAAAAGAACACAATAATTAGAATAAGCCTGTGTTTTTACATCCAAAATGATTTTAACAGAGCAAACAAACAATACTTCTTTTGACTCTATAGAAGCTAGAATTGCAAGAGATAATCTTATGCTTTAGGACAAACAAATAAGATTTTTTATATTACTACTCGATTTTAATATCCTTACAGATATTTCTGAAATATATGAACCACTATCCTGGAATTAACAATATGCCCTTTTATAGAAAGAGTTAATTTAAAATGCTTAAGATATTACTTATATTTAGGTTGGAGATGCACATACTATTGCAAGTGCGACAAATGGCAAATTATATTCTTGGGGATGGAATGATTATGGACAAATAGGAGTAGATTGCTCTAATAAACCTTTATAAATTAGTTGGGTTGAAAATATAAGTAGGCCATGTATACTTACTTTAGGTAGTAATCATTCTATAGTTGTTGATGTAGAAAACAATATGTATTCACTAGGAAAAAATACTTGTGGATAATTAGGTTTAGGTAATGCTAATATTATATATGAACCAGAAAGAGTAGATACAATTCATTTAAAAAATGATGAAAAAATAAAAATTGTAAAAAGTAAATATGAAATGAACATTATTATTACTGATAAAGGAAGTGCTTTTGTATGGCCTTTACTGAATCAAATAAATATTCAAGAAATGCATTTTGCTAATAAAATATAAATACAAAATGCTGTTTGTGGGTTGAATTTCTAAATTTTTTTAGCAAATAATGGAAATCTTTACAGCTTGGGAAATAACGATTAAGGATAATTGGGTTTGGGCGATTTTAATTAGAGATTTAAAAATCCTTAGCTTTTAGAATATTTTATTAATTAAGGAGAAAAAATATAATAGTAAATTAATTTTTTAAATAATTCTTTTTAAATTTTATTTATAGTATTGAATGTGGATTAAAACATGTTATTTGTAAGTCTTTTTTGAATAAAATTTATACTTGGGGTTGGGGTTTTAAAGGATAATTAGGCATAAATAACAAAAATAATTAAAACTTGCCTTAACAGGTTAATATATAAAACAATAAATACAAAGTTATGCAAGTATAAGCTTCGTATTCAAGTACTTTAGTTTTATTGGAAAATTAAAAAATATTATGGTGGGGAACAAATAATAAAATTAAAAATATACTGACACCTTAAGAATTAAATTTAAGTACATTAGATAAATGTATGCATAATAATGACTTTTATGTTGTGAAAATAGAGGCCTCTTGGAGTAGAACTTTATCTTTAACTTATTTAAGGATAGCAGATTGTAGAACAATATAATAAAATAACATTTTTAAACAAAAAACAATTAATACATTAATATAGAAATATTAAGATTCTTATTTAAATAATAGTATATATTAAATTTATAATTTTTTTAATTTTTAATATTTGAAAAGTTGATGTTCCATTTTTCGGTTCTAATATTTTTTCTAATAAGCATACACACAAAGGAATGTACTAATAAAAAGTAATAAAAATACATTATACATTATGAAAAATTGAAAAAAATTATAAAATTAATAAATAGAGAGTTGGAATCAAATATCCACTAAAAAAAAATATAATTATGTAAAAAAAAAAAATCTAAAATGAAGAATAAAGAAATAATTTAAATTAATAAAATAATACTAATTAGGATGATACCTTTAAACATTTTATAAACTATTGTTAGCAGTAAAATACAAAAGAAATTATAAATCAAATAGATGAAAAAAGAGAAGAAAACTTATTAGACAATCTTCTTGCTTCACCATAATAAATATTAGAGAAATACAAAAATGAATAATATAATTAAAATGTATAAAATTCTAGCAGAAAATCTTAACAATTTACGATTAATTAACTTTAGAGTAATAATGTTTCAGATAGAACAAATTAAAAAGTTAAATGTAAATCTCCTTGTATTCCTGCTAAAAGTCTTAAGTTTAAACAAAATGAATTTTAACTAAAAGAGTAAAATGTAAATAAAAATGAGTAAATAATTTAGGATTTGTAAATTAATACAATATATAAGGTCAATTTATTAAATATTATTTAAATTAAAATTTTAGGTAATTAAAACTAATTGGAATAAAATCTAGAATTTAAAGTTTATACAAAATACCAAAATCAGAATGGACACTTGATGATCATAATTTTTTAAACGAAATATCTTAATATTAAATAATTGAGTTATTAAAAAGTATAAACTGATGCATAATGTATAATAAATATTAATTTATAAAAAAATATAAATATTTCATTTAAAAATGTTTTAATTCTTTCTTTTATATCTTTTGTTTAAAAAATATTAATGTTTTTAGATATTTTTATAAAAATCCAATTAAATTATTTAATAAATATTTTTTATCTTTTTTTATAATAATTGTTTAAATTTTTTTATCATTTTAAAATAAGATTTATATAAAAATATTAGAAATTTAAATATATTATTTAAAATATTAAAAAAAAGATATTCACAATAATTAATGATTAAATTATTATTAATAATCAATAATTAAGGGAAAGTTCGTGTAAGCAAATTTTATGATCATATAAACAGTTAATATTTATAAAAATGAATATAAATATATATTAAATTAATAATAAAAATAAAGACGAAAAATAGAACAATATAATATAAAAGCTATTTGCTACAATTTCTTAAGAATCAAACAGAAGTTATTTTTTCAAAGATAAAGAACCAATATATGATAAAAAATGCACTATTGTTGTTAGGTATATATTAAATTTAATTTTAATATTTTAAAAAAATGAATTTATATAAAAAAAGATAATATGCAACTTTATATTTTATACTTGTAATTGATTAGGATGAAAGCGAGTTAAGTACTTTAGATTTAATACAGGTATTTTTAACTTATTGATAAATTATTAAAAAAAAAAAGGTAATTGTAGACGGATTTGATACTTTATTTGAAAATGTTTGTGAATTAGATATTGTTTATTTTCCAGATAAAGTATAATAGATATTTAAATAAAATATAAAAATTTATAAAATATTATATAAATAAAATGATATAATAAAATATAAAATAAAATAAAATAATATTTTATAAAATAAAAAAATAAAAATAGATCAATGCACTTTTAGATGAAATAATTATTGGTGGTCATGTTATAGAAACTAAAATACAAGAAATATTGTATGTTCTATAATAAGTTTAAGAAAATGAATTAAAAAATTGAAAAATATAAAAATCAAAATTTAAAAAATTATTTTATTTATTTGTAAATATAAATAAACTAAAAATTAATTTTTTAATAAACTTAATAAATTATGCTTATTTTTACCTTAATTATTTAATAACTTAAATCATTTTTAAAAATAATTTAAATATAAATACATATTTAATTTTTTTAAATAGCATATTTAAATTTATTAATATTACATTACCCATTTATTTATTAAAAAAAATCAAATTTTTATTTATATTGAATCATTTTTATAATTTAATTTTTCATAAATACTCCATAGAAGAGCTCCAGAAATGCATTTTTTAAGTAATCTTGGTAAATAGCCTTTATAAAATCCAATTACTCCTTAATCATAATAAATATATTAAAGCATTTTAGAGAAAGATCTACTTTCTTTTTTTGTACCTTAATACCTTACCCTTATATTATCAAAAGGATACACGATTAATAAAGAAAGCCCGCTTGAAAAAGCTCCAGAAATAAAAATGAAGCTATGATTCTATTAAGGATTTTCTTAAACTAAATTTTAGTAAGAGTTTAAACACATATTATATAAAACATACTAAACTCCACTCCAATTAATATCTCTTAGTAAAGTAGGCATAATTCCTCTATAAAATCCATATAAACCTTCCTCTTTAGATATTAATTTAATTGTTTTAAATATAGACATATATTCTTATTGTCCAGCAATTTCAAAACGTGTTTTTAAAACATTAATAGGGCAAAGTGTTGAAGTGGTTATAAATTTTGCTGTACAGGCACTTAAAAAATTATATGTTTATTTAATTATCTAACTCTACTAATTTTCTGTATTAAAAATATTTTTAATGTTTTCTAAGCCTGTGAAAAATATGCCACATGAGGCTGTAGATTTAATAGTGGCTAAAAGACCTCCTCTATAAAATCCTTATATCCCTTCGGTTTTCCATATATTAGTTATTTGATATTTTAAACTCCTAAAACCTGTACCTTGATTATGGTTAGCATTTATTATTGAACTTGTTCTTAAAACTTCGAAAGGTTATGTTACAAAACTTAAAAATGTACCAACTAAAAAATTATTTAAGTTTACTTTTTTTGCAGATTTTTATTGTATTTATTAAGCCATTTTTTAGATTTTATTTTTTAAATTAATATAAATTTATTTTTATTAATTTAGTCACAGAATTAATTTAAAATTATATTATTTGAAAAAAAATATTAAATTACTATAATATTAATTTATGTAAAACTTATTATATAAAATATTTTTATAAAAAACTTAAGATAAATATTTATCATTTATATTATTATTATATTAGTAAAAATTATTTACGAATTAAAAAATATATATTTTTATTAATTAATGTTATAAATGTTATTTATAAAATTCTACATTTTAAGTCTTCTATCATAAGAAAAAACTTTACTTTTATTTAATTATAAAGTTCTATCAACTGAAAGCTAACTTATTAAAAAAATAATTTATATCAACTTAATTTATAAGTAAGATAACCTTAAGTAACACCATAACATCTGTTTTAATATTTAATACATTGAGATATAGAAAAATTGTTTTTTTCAACTTTAATTATTCTTTAACTAAAACTAGTTTTCAAAAAGTAAAGGTAGTGAAATAGTAAATTATCCTTATTTTTTGTTGATATTTCAAATATTTTAACCTATAAATTTCTTTATTGTACTAAATATTATATTTTTCAAACAATTATAGTCTTTTTTTAAATTTAAATTATCATTATTTATTCGATATAATTATAATAATTTTATAATTATGAAAATCAATTATAATCAATAATTTAAAAAGTAAATAAAAATGCATATTTTAAATTAAAGTAGTTTCGATATATTTTCATATTATCCACAACATTCTATTAAATTTATATTGATAGTTTTTTTATTATATAAATTTAACTTTTTAAAATTTATGTTACTAAAATAATAAATTATAACCAAAAAAAATTAATATTTTATTTATTTATTTATTTAAATGAAATTTATAAACAAATTTAAATATTCATATTTTATTAGTAACACATTTCTTTCTATTTTTTAGAATTATATTTCAAATATTTATAAAAATACCTAATTACTGACATAAGAATATATATATTAAATAAATTTAATTAAATTATAATTTATATAAATCTTGTTTATTTTTTTATATCAAAAAACGCCTGCTAATATATGTTTAGTTTGCAAAACAAATTCAATAAAAGTAGTATTTTTTTGAAATCATAAAGTTTCAAAACTTAAATTATATAAAATTACAGGAGAATAATAAAACCTCCAATTATAAATTGATGAAATATTTTTAATATTATTTTTTTAAAATTAATAATATTCTATTTTTTTGTTTAATGTAATTTTTAATTTATAAATTAAGTTTTTCTACTAATTAGATATTAAATAGGAATAAATCTCTATTAGGAATCATAAAAAATATAAATAAAGGAAAATGATTTTGTATAGACTTATATCGTATTTTTGGATAAGATATATAAGGCAGCAAAACCAAAATTATTTATAAAAATTTATATGGAGTAATATTTTTATATTCAATTGATAGCAAAAAAATCTTAAATGATATTTAGTATTACGTAAGATCATTTTAATGTAATTATAGCATGATTGGATGGATGAGAATTTTAATCCTATTTATATGTTCAATAAAATTGATTAATATAATAATTTACAGATAGTGATAACAAATAAAGATGTATTTAAAGTTTTAAATTTTTTTAAGTTAATTCGAAAACAGGTTATATTATAGATGAATAAATAATATAATCAAACAGCTAGAAAAATAAGGTGTTATTGATAAAAAATTTAGTTAAATAAACTTTAAGTATAAAAAAAATATTAATTATAATTTTAAATAAGTAGGATTGTTTTTGAAAAGTTAAAATATAATTAATTATTTTTATTTAATTTATATATCATAATATAGTTAGCCTTTTAATATTTGTATTTAATTTTTATTAATTAAAATTTCTAATGTCTTTATAAATTAAAAAAAAAATTGAAATTATAAAATTCAATAAAAGTATTTATAATTTCATTTTTAAAGTTATTTATTTATTCATTTGTATTTATCTTATATTTTTTGGAAATTAGGTTATAATATATAAAATAAAAAATATCAATGTATCAATGATTTTAAAAAAATGCAATTTAATTTATCAAATAAAAAAAAGAAAATATAGATTAAAATTATTTATTAAAATATTTTAAAACCCCGCTTATACATACATTTTAAACAGAAATTTATATTATTTAAAAAAATAAAACACCAAAAACAATAAATATATATTATTTAACTTTTTCTTATTTTCAAACATCTTAAGATGCTTATCCAGTTTCTGACTTTTTAGTTTTAGAAGGTAATAACATTGGGTTAATGTTAGGTAAAACACCACCATCAGCAATAGTTGTATGAGACATCAATTTATTTAATTCTTCATCATTTCTAATAGCTAATAAAATGTGTCTAGGAACAACTCTTGACTTTTTGTTATCTTTGGCAGCGTTTCCAGCTAATTCAAGAACTTCAGCTGCTAAATATTCTAATACTGCAGCCATATATACAGGGGCTCCACTACCTACTCTTTAGGCATATCTTCCTTATTTTAAAAATCTAGAAATTCTTCCGACAGGGAATTAAAGTCCTGCTCTATTTGATCTAGATACTTACTTTGAAGATGCGGTTTTTCCTTTAGCTTTTCCTCCTTTTCCTGCTGTACTCATTTTTTATTTGTTGTTTATTTGCTTTTTTTATGTAAATTAAAATAATTATCTGTTTTCTTTTTTTTCTTTTTTAATTAAATTTTAATATCCGATCTTATTTTAATTATCCAATCGATTTTAAGTTTTAATAAAATTAAGATAGAATTTTTATATATAAAATATTTAATTACTACTTTTTTTTATAGGATATTTTAATTAATTTAATGAAATAATATAATTCAAATTGAATTTAAATAAAAATTATATTATCGTTTGTTTTAAAACAAAATTAATTTTACGATTAAATTATATTTTGAGTTTATCATGTTATAATATCCATTTAATAAAATTATAAAATTAAAAATATTTATAAAAATAATAAATATTATAAATATAAATACTTTTTTTTATTTTAATTCAGATAATTTAATAATTATATTTATAATATAACTATTTTTATGCAATAAATAATAATTTTTAAAATAAAACTTATCTATGCGTAAATAGAAAATTTCGTATTTTCATTTATTAAATACTGCATGCTTATAAAATAATAAAAAAGTATAAAATTTATATTATAATTTAGAATGCTTTTTAATATATAAATTGTTCATTTAATATGAAATAAATTGGCATTTACCTTATTTTTATTATTATTTTTATTTTTTTTGGAATTTTTTATTTCAAAATTAAAACTTTAATTGTAAATATAATAAAGTCTTTAATATGTAAAATTAACAAATAAAATTTATTATTATATAATATTTAAAGAAAATAATTATTTTATGAAATCAAATAAATAATATTAAGTAATTTTCATATATAAATATTTAAATTAAAATGTTTTCATAATTTAGGCATTTTAATATATTAAGTTAATTTTAAGAATCCAACAATTAGTTTTTAATTTCATATAAATTATGTTTAATTTTTTTTAAGTATAATAAATTATAATTAATAATGTCGATATTATATAATAAAGTGCTTAATTTATATTATTTTTAATCCTTGAAAATAATATTTTAGATTTGATAATAAAATTTTATATCTTTAAACACAAAAAATTTATAAAGTTATAAATGATACTAATATATTTTAAAATAAAATAAATAGGAATAAAGTATACTAATAAATATTTAAAACAATCTAAATCTTATTTGAAAAATTTATTTTAGTTTTATAAAATTAAAAATAATATAAAGTGTGAACACAAAAAATAGCATAAAATTATTAAAAATAATTAATTATGAAAGCATATAAATTAAATTACTTAAATAAATCATTTTTTTTTAAATATTTTTATTATTTTATTGTGCATTTCTAAGGATATTTTAAATTAAATCAGATTTAAAATTATATAATTAAATAATTTAAAGCTTTTTTTAAAAATATACTAAAAAATTAAGATTTATTTATATATATATATATTAATAATAAAGATTTTCAATTTATTAATAATATTAATTAAAATACGAATCTATAATATTACTCTTTATAAATAAATATATATTATTTATTTATTTTAATTTATTTTCTTTTATTTAAATTAAAATATATGTTATCTTTTCTTTTAATATATGAACAAAATTAAGAATTCAAAAAAAATTTTTCTGCAAATAAAAAAAATTCTAAATATTTAAAATAATTTTTAGATATTTGAATAAAATTATTGTAATATATCTTTATTTTACTATATTTAATTAATTTTTTTTTTTAATGTAGTAAGAAATTTTAAAAATTCAAGAAAAAATAGATAGAAAAGCTATTTTAGAAGAAGAATTAAGATAATTAGAAAAAAACATATTTGATTTAGAAACTAATTATTTAGAAATTACTAATAATTGTGGTATATTTTTATAATAAAAAATATTAATGAATTATAATATATTAGGTAATTTAATTAAAGGATGGGAAAACAATATTGCAAACAAATAAGCAAAATAACAATTCTAAGTAAGCACTTTGCATAAAAAATAAAAATAAATATTAACGATAGAATATTTTCATTATCTTCATGCACATCTCCAGCAGTATTTTCAATAATATATATAAACTTTTGTTTTTTTAAAAATTTATAAGAATAAAAAAGTTTAAGAAATAATTGATAAAAATATTGATGGTAATTATGGTACATTCAGCTCTATAAAAAACAAAAAAAACAAAAAAAAACAAAATTTGGACATATAAAACATGTAAATATTATTAAATATTTGTTTTTAATTAATAATTTTTATTATAATATATAAAAAATTTTATTATTTTTAAATTTAATAAAGTTCGTCTTAATAAAATTATTCTTAAAGTAATGGCAACATTGATATTTTTTAATTAAATCAAAATAATAATAATAAAAATTAGAAAATTAAAAAAAAATAAGAAAGTGAAATAATTAAATATGGTTGAATTTATAATAATATAAAATAATAAATATTAATTATATTTTATATATTTATTATATTTAAAATATATTTATTTTATATTTTTTTATTTTATTTGTATTTTTATAAATATTCCAATATATTGTATTTTTTTCAGTTCTCAAGCATTATTATTTAAATGTATAAAAAAAATATATAAAGTTAGCTTTTTTTTAAGATAATAATAGTAGGATATTATTCCTTTTAAATATATAAATTTAAAATCATATTTATATAATTTTATCCATACTAAAATATATTAATCAGGTAATATATAAATCAGGGAATATATATTTTTTAAAAAATATAATATTTAATATTAGATTTTATTATCATTTGATATTTTATTTTATTTTTATATTTTAGACACAAAATATTTTTAAATTTTAAATTAACTTAAAAAATTATATAAATATGAAAAGAAGAAAATTAAAAAATAATTTTATAAATTCATTTATATATAATTTTTCAACTTATATTTATTATTTTTTCTTTTTAGAAATCTATTTTTTCTAATATTAAACCCATATCATTATAAAATAGTAAAAAAATTTTAATATTTTCGAATAAAATAATTTTATATATAATTTGTTAATAGTTATTATTTTTTCGATAATATTCTCTTTAAATATTTATATATATAAATCGATTTTTTGTGGGAAATTTTTTTTTCATAAAGATAATTTTATCTTTAAATTTATTCTATCATTTTTAAACATATAAATATTAAAAAATAAAAAAGCTTTTAAAATTACAATAAAATTACTTATAATATTAATATTATTAGTTTTTAAAGAATTTAGTTCAAAATATAAATCCAAATTAAAAAGAAAAACAAATATAAATTACATATTTATAAAAAATAAAATAAAAGATATATAAAATGGACCAATAATAAGTACAATAAGAATAGAATTAAAATAATAACTTAAATAATATTATGCAAATTTAGTAAAGATCAATTCCTTTAATACATCATTTAAGGTCTTTAATATCAATTTATAATAGTTTAGGCAATTAATAAAAAATTTACAAAGAATATTTGGAATAAATAAAAGTATAGGAATTAGACGACTGTGATAATATTAGTAGCTTTGTTAATATATTTGATGAAAGTTTTCTAAATATAGATTAGCGAAATCAAATGCAATTGATAAGAAATGGGGAATAAGAAAAAATAATTTCATAAAAAAATAAAGAATTATTGATTTGTGCTCATATGGTCAATTTAATCATTCAATTAGAAAAATAGTTTAAATTTAATCAAATGGAAATAAATAAAGAATCGTTTTAAAAAATAATTTAGAATTATGAATAATTGCTATTGTTTTTAATTTAATATTAAAATTAAGAATTAATTTTTATGTAAATGTACGAAAAATTAAAAATACTTTCAATTTAAATATAAGAATACTATAATAAAAATTTAGGATTAAATATTGAAGAAGAAAATGAAGTAAATAATAAAAATTAAAGAATAAAAGAAACATCAAATTAATTTACTTAATTAAAAAATACAATTTTAGGAGCGCTTTTGTAAATAATATTATTATAATAATAATCTTTATCTGAATATTAAAATTAATAAAAATAAATTTGGTAAAATCTTGATTAATTCAAAATTTCAAATTAAGAAAATGAATAAAAATTATTAGAAAATAAACTAGAAAACTAGCAAAAAATATACAAATTTAATAATGAAAAACTAGTGGAATTAGTTAATAATTTAATTATCTAAATATTGGAAGTAAATTAATTAGACAAAAAGCTAGTTGATAAGCTTAAAGAAATATTACAAATATTATTTTAGTTTTAATATAATTAATATAAATTTTAATTTAAATGCGATTTTATCGAAAAGCTTAGCAAGTTTTAATTTAATACCCTTATTATAAAATAACTTGAAAATTTGTAAGAAAATAGTGAAGAAAATTTTAATAATAATAAAATTAATGAATAATTTATATACTGCAATAAATAAGTTCTTATTATACTAGATTTAGTAAATTCTATATACCTAAAAATTTTCAAAGTTTTATAATTATTTTCGGCCTAAAGATTTTAAATTAACCTAGATTTGTATTAATAATTACATATAGATTAGTTATTGATTGATACATTTATAAATAAAATTAAATTTAAAGAAGATGACTTGAAAAATCTAAATTAAAATTAGCTAGTTTTTTAAAATATTCCCTTTTATATTCATTAAATAGTAGAGTGTCTACAAAAAAATAATGACTTGATTATTTCTTTTACAAAAGAAAATATATAAAATTAAAATTAATAACAAAAATAAATATTTTACTAAATTTAGATTATTAATAATAAGGTGTTTTTAATTTAGAGTTTAAATATTTAAAATGATATTTAAAATTAAATAAATAAGTTAACTAATAATTAATAAAATAATAATCAAAGCAATTAAAATAATTAAATTTCTCTTGAAGGGAATGAAAAAAATAATAGACAAAACATTTTAAATAATTTATTAGAAAATAAAAATAGAAATAATAATAACTAAAAAATAATATAATAAAATGATAATAAATAAAACTAAATTATAGAAAATATAACAATTATTGATAATAATTAAAATATTTAAAAAGAATAGTAAATGATATAATAAAATGAAATAAATATTGATTTAAGTTAAAGTATAAATAAAAAAAATAGTATTCAAATATAAGAAGTTCAAGAATAATTGATTCCTCAAAATTAAACTAAAAATTAATAAAAAAAAACGAAATTAAATTAATAGCAAGAAAATGATGATAAAAAATAAAAAGTAGAAATAAATGAAGAAAAAAAGAAAAAAACAGAAAAGTAAAAAGTATTTCAAAAATATATATCAAAATAAAACGAAAAACAATAAAAAAATAAAGAATAAACAAGCTAATAATAATTAAAACAAAACAACTAAAATAGTCTTGAATAAAATAGCAAACAAAATTTAGATAATTTATAATCTTCAAACTGAATCGCAAAATCTCAATAGGTAGAACCAATAATTTAATAATAATAATTGCAATTATAACAGTTTTAATAATAATAATAATAATAATAATAATAATAATAGTAATAATAGTAATAATAATAACAATAATCATCAAATTTAAATAAATAATAGTAATTGTAATAATAATAATAATAGCAATAATATTAGTAATTGCTTAGTCAGTAGGCCTAGTAAATTCTTATCAGCAAGTTTATTAATAACCAAATTTATCACCTTAATAATAATAATATTAATAATAAATATTATAATTACTTTTAAAATAATAATAATAGCAATAATTATAACAATAAGGATTAATATAGGATTAGTTATTTTCCCTTTTAATCTAGAAGGAAAATAGGAAATTAAAATAATGGATGATTCAAACCTTAAAAAAGATTAATTATTAAATTCATAATCAATTTAAGCACAATTACAAGCATAATTATAACCATAATAATATAAATAGTCTTAATAAATTTTTTATGAAAATTATAATAATTTAGAATAAAATGAATAGATGGTGAAAATTAATATCAACTAAAACGTATAAGAATTATAAGTGACAATTAACTAGATAAATCATTTTAATTAATAATTAAAATAAATATAGTTTAATTTATAATAATAATATCCTATATAATTAAATTAGTAATAAATATTATAACTATAGCAACTTAAATAACAATAATAAGAAATATAATCCTATATATATTTATTAGATATTAAGTCATAGGAATGTTAATAATAGATTTTAAATCTATATAAATTATATTATAAAATTTAATATTAATTAAAAGAACTTTTTATAAACAATTAATTTTAATAAGCAAAGTTTTTTGTTTCTTAATGCAATGAGAAACCTAATTAAGAGATAAATATTTAAAATATATTATAATTGCAGGAAAAACATTAATAATTATAATAAGAATAATTAATTCCATAAGAATTACTATTCTAACTTGCCAGAAATGAATAACCTTAATAAGCTTAGATAAACAATAATGTTGACCCTTAACAGATATTTATGGCTTAGAAAAATAATAAGAGTAATGTTAATTTACTAAATTAAGTCAATTAAATAAATAATATTGATTTAGTAACCTTATTTTAATAGTAATAGTAATTAACTTAGTAATTGCCAGCATTGTAGTTGAATGAGTCCTTTTCATTTAAAAATCCATCAACAGAGAATAGAACATCTAAAGAAGATGAAATAAAAAGAAAAATATTTGAAAAAAATATATAAATATATATAAATAATTATAATAAAAAATTTTAATAATAAAAATAATTTATAATTATATATTATTGCGTTTAGAAATTTTAATGGTAGTAATAAAACTAATATAATTTAAAATACCAAATTTAAATAAATTACAGCCTAAATTTCTTAAATTTTAAAAATTTATTTTTTAATTAAAATATTTTTTTATTATAAAAATAATTTAAAAAAAAAAATATTAATTATTTGTGCAATTGAATTTATAAAATATTTATAATTTTAAAAGATATTAAAAACTAGTGTATTTTACATTAATATAAAAAAATATAATTAATTACCTTTTTATATATATCTTTTTTTTAATTATATTAAAATAATTTAAACTTAACTAAATTTATTGAAAAATATATAGAAAATGCTTTTTTATAATAATTAAAATGCTATATTAATTTATATTTTAAAATATTTAAATTTAATTATATTTTTCAAAACAATATCTAAATGCAAAAAATAATATATAAATATAAAAATAATAATTATAAAAAAAAAAAAAAAAATGTCTGAAAAAAAATCAAGAAAGCACCGCCGTTCTCACAGTCGTTCACGTTCTCATAAAAACTAAGGCAAAACATATAATAAAAAAGATGAAAATTAAAAAAGTAAATAAACTAGCCGAAATTATTCATCCCATCATAAAGAATCAAACAAGAAATATTACAAAAAAGGATTATCTTCATCTAATTCTTCTAAATCATCTTCAAATTCGAGTTATTCCTCATCTTCCTTATCTTCTGTAGAAAAGGATTAAAAAAAAGCTAAAGTTGACTAAAACCAAAATTAAAAAATTCAATAAATAAAAAAAGACTATACACATCAACAATCTCAATGGCATTTCACTCCCAAAAACGAAGAATCAAAATGGATAATAATTGAAAACCTCCCAGAATCAATAACATAAACTGAAATAGAGGAAAAGCTAACACAAATAAGTGCTGATTGTGGCACATCAAACTATGACGAAATAAAATTAGTCCCATATTTAGGCAGTGTATATATTCAATATCCCTCTGTAAGTGCCGCAACAAAGACTTTGTATCATTTAAAAGGCAAAATCAAGCTTCGAGATGAATTTTATCCAATGGATTTTTACAATAGTGGACAATAATAACAAAAATCAAGCTACGAGCAGCCCCAAACAGACTGGATTTGTGATAAATGTGAATACAAAAATTTTGCAAAAAGAACAAAATGTAATAAATGTGAAAAGCCAAGATCTAGTAATTGCAGAGTCGTCCTTAATAGTGTTGGAGGAAAATAAACACTTAGCGTTCCTGTAGGAATTACTATGATATTAGCTCCTTTAAATGAAGTTAATACTTCTCTTATGGTAAGAGGCAACATTATATAGTATATTACAGAATCACATCTTATTGATTCTTTTGAGGTATTTATTTATTTTTATATTAATTTTTATTTCATATTTTTTTGTTTAGCCTTATGCAAAAATAAAAGATGTGAGATTGGTAAAAAATAAATAAAATGGATAATAAAGAGATTTTGCTTTTGTGGAATTTTATACTTTGGAAGATGCTGAAAGAGTACTCAGTTAAACTTCTGGGTTAGATTTTAAAGTCGGAGGAGAACATGTTCAGGTACTTTTTAGTAAAAATAAAAGAAGTGATGATCCTACTATGCCTATTACTACAACTTATGAATATAGTTAATATTAATAATAATAATAATAGTACGAATATACTTAATATTATTAATAAATATAATAATATTAATAATAAGGATATAATTATGATTCTACATTCGTTTAAAGTTATGAATAATAATAATAAACATAATTTCCTAATCATTAGTATAATTAATAATAAGGATATTAAAATCCTTAGTAATAATAATATTAGACTCAAGGTTAATATTAATAAGGTCAATAGTACTAATTACCTTAGCAATATCATTAATATTAGCAATAAGTATATTAGTAAGGATAATTATATCCACAACAATTTTAATAATAATAGTATACACAATAACTATAATAGAGTAATTATGGCGTTTAGCAATAATAAGGAAATAAAGAAGATTAGCCTTTCACTTTAGATTAGACTTATATCGACTAAAATAAACACGAGTAAATCTAATAATAATAAAGAATTATTTAGGAATAATAAAAGTAATAATAATTACTTGAAGAGTAGAAGAAAAAAGAGTAAATAGAAAAAAATAGATAAAAGCAAATGGAATAGCAATTAAAATAATTTGAAGAATAAAAAAGACTTTTAGAATAACAGCAAAAAGAACAAGATCAAAAAAAAAAAAAAACTGATGAAAAAAATAATTAATAAACAGGTATTAATGATGTTTAAAAAGAGCTATAGTAATAATATTAAAATATGCTTTAACAATAATAATAATTATTATAAAATTAAATTAAATAATAATAATAAGCGACAAAAATAAAATAAAATCAATAATAATAAATCGTTTAATAAATAGGCCAAGAAAAAAATATAGTAACAACATAAAGCCAATAGTAATAATAACCTGAATAAAGTTCTTAAATAAAATAATAGTAAACGTAATATTAGTAAAATACAAAATAAATATAAGAATCAATTTCTCTTTGCTAAAACTAAAAATAAAGTTGTCAATTATCTCATGCTCAAGTTAAAATAGAATAAAATTAACTTTAAAATATAATTAATTTATCATTAAATCACTAATAAAATTAAAATAACAAAAAAGAAAGATTATACTTATGTGCTATTTGTAAAAGAAGATTTGAATCAGATAAAGTTATTAACTTGCACTACTAGCATTCTTAATTACATAAATAAAACTTGATGCTATATGGGATAAATTGAATAACTTTTTAACATTACAATATAAAAAATTAAATTATTTTGATCAAAAAACATTATTTTTATTAATTTCAAAGTGATTTATAAATTATTTGAATTTTTTTTATATGTTTGCTATGTTTATAAACGTTATTTAAGTAATAAACAATTTTTTTTTTGTTTAATTTTTTAAAATTATAATGGTATATTTATATTTTGTTTCACATAAAAATTATATCAAATAATCTAAAAATATTAAATAAAATTATAAATATTTTGTATATAATTTGTTTTTATAAATAATTGAAAATTCTGAATTTCGATGCAGATATTTTTAATTTTACTATAATAATTTTTAAATTATAATATTTTATATAAAATTATCTAATTATAAAATTAATTATTTATTTATTAATTAGACTTTATGAATATATTAATTATTTTTTACATTTTTTTTGAGTTTTGAATTTACGAAAGACAATAAAAATATTTTTGAATTATTATTTTTACTAATTTCTATTTATATAAATACATTTAAATTATTGATATATTTTAAGACTTGAAAATAGATACTTTTCAGTCATTTTATTAAAAAATATCAAAATTTGTTTATTTTTAGTTTTTAAATATATATTTTATTTTTTAATTTTTGTTGTATTAGAATCAATACCACTTTTAACTTTTATCCTTTAAAAATGCTAAGTCAAAAGCCTCGAAATTCTTATATATTTTAATTTTCCTTTTACAAAAATTAAGAAAAAGAAAAAAAACATTTTTCTTAACTTTTTTGTATAGGATATTTTAAGTATTTTATATTTTTTAAAAAAATATAGATTTTTAAATATATTTTATTTTAGTAATTTTTATTCTTTAATAATTTTTATACTTATATATAGAGTATTATAATTAAATTATTTTTGATGTTTTCAATATAATTTTATTATTTATAAATTCATTTCAAATTTAAAATTAAAATTAAATAATGAATTAATAATCTTACAAACCATTAAAATAAATTGAAAAAGGAAGCAAAGGTTGGGGTCTTAAACATATAGCTTAAATGACTTTAGGATCTGGAAACATGAGTTTAGCTGTAGAACTCCCATCAGGGGAAGAATTGAATGAATGGTTAGCAGTAAATACAATAGAGTTTTACAATGAAATATCAATATTATACGGAACTTTAATGGAATTTTGCACTTAAGAAAGCTGCCCTATAATGAGTGCTGGGCCAAAGTTTTTATTTATTTATATATTTAACCTTCTTTTAAATTTTTTTTTTTCTTGTTAATACTAACTAAAAAAAGATATGAATATTTATGGGCAGATGGTTAAAATGTCAAAACCCCTTTAAAAGTTTCAGCATGTGAATATATTGATTATTTGATGACTTGGGTAGAAGCATAAATTAACAATGAAACCTTATTCCCATGTTAAATTGGTAACTTACTTATTAATTAAAATCTTTTTTTAGTATATTATGTATTTTTCATATTATTGAATTATTTTATTAATTTAAAATGCTTTTATATTTTTTTTAAAATAATTCTAAAGGTATTCCTTTCCCTAAAAATTTTTTAAATGTAATTAAGGTCATATTTAAAAGATTATTTAGAGTTTATGCGCATATGTATCATTCACATTTTTAACATATAATGAATTTAGGTCTTGAGTATCATTTAAATACATGCTTTAAACATTTTATTTATTTTATTGACGAATTTAAACTAGTAGATGATAAAGAACTTGCTCCTTTAGCTGAACTAATATAATAATTTAAGGCACGTAAAGAAAATACTTAACCAAATTAATGAAATTAAATTTTCTAAACAAAAATATAAATAAATTTAAATTATATTATGTATTTATATACTTATGTTTTTTTAAATTCAATTTTATATAAATATTAAATTTTCGTATTTAATTTTAATTTTTATATTTATAATATATATAACAATTTTTAAAAATAAAATAAGTAAATTAGAGTGAAAAGAGGATTTTTTTATTTTCATCAATTTTCTCAAATCAAACCTTAATATTGAGATATATCTAAAATATATATCGTTTGTTAATTTCCCAGAATAAAATTATATAACTGCTAAAGAAAATCCATATTTTTATATTTTTGAAATACATTAGTTAAATAACATAAAAATTTAAATAATTATTTTTTTACATAAAAACATATTTTAATAAAAAAATATACTTGCAATCTAAATATTATAAAAAAAAATTAAAAATAAAATAAATAATATATAAATTACAATTTTTATATAAATAAAATTTTATGGTAATTTAAAAAATTAAATAATTAATTTTTTTAAAAAAATTTATAATATTTATAATATATATATTTATTGTATTTATTCATGTTTTAAGAAAAAAACAAAATTTTACTATATTTATGATTATTTAAAAAAATAAATTTAAAAAGATTTACAATTTTAACATTTTTGTTTAAAAATATAAATAAAAAATTTAACATTAATATAATAAAAGGTTTGGGGTTGGGGTTGGGGTTGGGGTTGGGGGTTGGGGTTGGGGGTTGGGGTTGGGGTGGGG